GAGCAGACCATTCAAGGAGGCCACTGATATGAATTATTTTCCAAAACCCTAGTCAGTCTTCACATATCATCTCCAAGAGGGCCTCACCCCTTTAAAGATGGACCCATTAAGTATTTGAATCTTGGGGCTGCTTTAATAATTTCAACTGCTTTTTGGGTCTTATCTTCTTATTCTTCAGCAGATACAGATGAAAGAATATTACACAGTTTACAGAGTATCCCAAAACTCACCATACACAGGGAAAAATGGGAAATTGTAGCTAAGTGTAACTTTATTTATAAAATACTCACTACAAAATTTTATAAAAATTTAGCTACAATATCCCATTTTCTGTGTATGGTGAATTTTGGGACACCCTGTAGAATGTAAAGACCTCAAATGAATTTGCTAAGTGAATCAAAGAATTTGGAGCTTTTGGAGCTAAAAGGAACCCAAGGACGATATACCTAATTTTTCTAAATGAAAAATGATGCAGCACAGCAAAATGATTTGACCATGGGGACATAAACAGTTAGAGTTAGGAGCATAAGCACCAAACTAGAATCTTTTTGAAGTTTAAACTGCATTAACATTCTCCCTTTCTAATGAGGCCTGTCTTCAAAGCAAGGCCTTCAACATTAACCCTTGCCTAAGACTCCGTCATCATTGGAATGGTCTGCATTCCATTGGTTTGCATTTACCTTTAGGACTTTAACTTGGTCAATAACTTGGGATAGTTTAGCAGTAAGGACACACAGAGCAAGCTATGGTGTATAACTATTAATAATTAGCAGACTAATCCCAGTGGCCCTCAAACCACAGAATTGTGCTCATTGTCTATAATGCTATTAACTCACCTTAAATAGAGTAAACCTAAATTAACAACTTTATTTTAGCATTTTTAAAAATAATATTTCTTCAGTAACTGGCCAAATAACCACAGGACAAATAATGTCTTCAGAAGTCTACAACTAGATTACTGACCACCTAAAAAATAATCACCTACGTTTATAACAGCAAGAATAATGGGATAGAGCCATGGTTTTCTATTCTTGGTTCACCTCAGAATTACTGACATCCCTGAAAAATACTTCACAGTTAGTTTTACTTCAGAAGAGGTAACCTGTTCACAAGATTATATAATGGCATACTTAATGTGAATTACAAATAGACTAATATATTCCTGTGTGAACTCAAGTAACTTAACCAGTCCATTTTTTAATCTGTAAAAGAGGAAGCTTTGAATATTAAATGCTTATAGAATTATTTCTTATAGAAACCATTTTGAAAGCAATTTATTAATACCACTCTGAAGTATCTAAAGCTCACACTCAATTGTTTAAATTAAGACCTTAAGCTACTCTATTAAAAGGAAAATGTGAATTTCCTGGTTGGAACATAACTAAAATATAAAGTTTGTCATGTGTTCTGCTGTTTTAAAAAATCATCTGAGATTCCAGCATGAAAATAAAATATATGTTGAAATAAATTATACAACATATTAAAATCCTAGAATATCATCAGGAAAAAAAAATCTGATGTTTAAAGAGTAACAATGGCAAGCTTGCTATAGTCTAAAAGACACTGAACAGGTAAGAGAACTGATTCTAATTCAAGCCTTGCCTCTTGCCATTAGTGGGCAGTGTGACCACTGGCAATTTTCAATTTCACAGTGCCCATTTCCTTATCTGTAAAAACATGGATTGGTTTGTAAGAGTTCACAGCTCTTAAATAGGGTCTTTATAACCTAAAGGATAATTACATATCATTTACTCAAATATCAAGAATACTATGGTAACATCAATAATCTAAAAAATTCAAGATTTAGAGCAAGGAGTTATTAAAGAGACAAACTATCTTCAGAAAACTCTAAAATATATCTTGTTGCCTCTTTCTAAATACTTCAATTTCCTTTAAATTTCTCAAACTATAATTGTATCATATAATTGAGCTCTTCCTGTGTAAGGGTCCCTTGTCATGAGACGTTTTTAGTATTAGGCTAAACTCTTACTCTAAGAAATGCACAAGTTAAGTTGGGATATCACGGTCCTCTTAAGGCTAAAACTGATCTCCATTCCCCTCCCTCCCCACCCACATCCCCCAACTGCCAAGTGTAAATTGATCACCAGGTGAATTCCTCATTTATTCATTTTTAGAATTCATTGATGGGTATAATTAGCAATCAACTTAAAATATTTACCGAAGTTTATTACTTGTGTGACACCCTACATAAAACACAAATACAGGATGTAGAGGACTACTCCACCCAACCTCTGTACACTAATCTATAGTTTTAAATATACACAATACTTGGTTTCAACCCTGGAGAATTCAACAGGAATGAGTAGGCAACATACCATACATTTTTAGAGCTCTATAGATGACCCTGACTTACCCCGGTTGAAAAAACCCTTGCTCTAACAGCAATTGACTCCATACTCTTCAATGAGCTACCTGTAATTACAACATTCTAATTCTCTTTTGGGGGATGAAAAGAATGTAGGTTGCTTAATCTCCCTAAGGCATCCCTAATTCCACTTATAGTGTTTTCCTAACCTATAGTGTTTTCTCTGGGACACTGAGGTTATTTTATTTTATTTATTTATTTTTTTGAGACAGGGTCTCGATTTATCACCCAGCTAGAGTGCAGTGCCATGATCACAGCTCACTGTAGCCTCAAACTCCTGGGCTCAAGCAATCCTATTGCCTCAGCCTCCAGAGCTGGGACTACAGGCCTGTGCCACAACGCCTGGCTAATTTTTCTATTTTTAGTAGAGACAGGTCTCACTCTTGCTCAGGCTGGTCTCAAACTCCTGAACTCAAGCAATCCTCCTGCCTTGGCCTTTCAGAGTGCTAGGATTACAGGCGTGAGCCACTGCACCCCGCCTGAGGTGATTCTTTAAAAAGCTGGCATCAACACCTCCTTAAATATTAATTTTATAAATGACATTTCTAAAGACTACAAGGTTTTTTTCATATATTTATGGTTAGATGTCCATTAGATAAAGGCTAGAAAAACTTCAAACTACCCAAACACAGGACAAATTACAGAATCACTGCATTCTATAGGTATCATTTTTCACACCCAAGATTTCTGAGCAATCTGTTGCTCTTTTTTCCCCTATAAATTTGTCTTCCACATAATTCAAACTGAGGGTATTGCTTATATAAGGAAATCTCTTATAAAACAAACAATATTTATAAGCTTATATAATAAGATGTGAGAACCCCCTTCAATCACCAACCCCTAAAATACTTTAAGAGTCTGAAATTAAGCTTAAGTATAATATGTGGAGTCATTCCTTTTCCTATACTTACCACCATTACTTGCAAAAGTGTTTCAGCATAACCAGAATATTTGTTGTGTTCATAGATAAATGACACCAACACATATTACCTTTGTTTAAAAAATGAACAAGGCCATTCATCTTGTGACTTGTTCCTGGAAACGTGACATATTAAGATCATTCTTCAAAAAACTGTTTTTGTAGTTATACATGCATATATCTGAAAGGCTATTTCTACCATGTTTTGGTCATTTTTAATCACTCTGCCTAGCCTTTCTTTGATATGAGGATATATTTATCAGCTGTAATTTTATTAACTCCTAACACAAAGGTGTAGTGAATACCTTCACTCACTCAAGTAACTAGTTAATTTGTTTTCAGAATAATGTGCAAAAGGGAGAGGGGAAAAACCTCACAAAGTGTATCACTATATTTAACCCTTCAGATACTCTCAGGAGGAAAAGAAATTTCCCATCTTGACATAGTGTAGACGGACTCTGAAAAAGAATAAACACACAGCATTGTTTTAGTAATACAAGAAAAAAAAATACAGTTCATTTGAGATACTTAAAATAACTTAAAAGACCAGTAACTTTAGTTTCAGTTACTTAGTTAAAAAAATTAGTTCTTAAAAGTAATCATATATGGAGTACCACATATATTAAACACTAAAAGTATTTTTAAAATAAATTGGTGATCCACACTAATGAACCTTTCATCTCTGCAGTATTTTAGCATACACTCTAGGTTCATCCAAGACCGGTGTTCCTCCAGAACGGATCGCCGGAAGTCAGCAGGCTTATCATCAATAATACCTCCTTTCGACATCTCCCTGCTTTCGCTGGTAGGTGAAAAGATGTCGTTTTAAATCGGTGTATCACTCTTTTGGGACGCTTCTTGTCTTTTCTTACTTTGCAGGGCCAAAACAACGTCCCCTTTCCAGCTTGGTTACCTTCCAACAACGATTTCTTTGGACCTCTGTGCAAATCATTCCTGTATGAAAATTCAGTGAGGGTCTGAAACTTTGGGGAGAGGGAAGGTGGGCTGGAAAACAAATGACAAGACAAAAATAAACTTGAGAGGGTTAGCCCAACTCTGTGGGTGGAAGTAGGCTTCTCAGAATAAAAACGAGAGTCGCCGCCCGGGGTTCCCGGGCCTCAACAAAGACACCTACCGTCCCGACTATCCTGTTAGCCGGTCTAAATGATACTCCGAGCCAAGAAGCAAACCGACTCCCTCAATCCCTTAGTTAGAAAATAGGAGCAAGAGGCGTATGGCCCTGTGCAGTACCTCCAGGACCGTGATCGGCCTCTTGATGCCGCCTCCGGTCGGACCCACGCTACATCAGTCCCTAGTGCAGCCTCCACCCCCTGATTCCCACGTTCATGGCCGAAGCTCTCGATCAGCTCGCCCTCCACCTCACCGTCCCCACTGCACAACCACTCGACTCCCGCGCAGCCTGAAACCTCAGCCTGGCTCCGCAGAATCGCCCCACCACTCTCAACATGGCGACCGAGTTCCCTGCGCTCCTTCGCTCTGGGCGCGTCCAACCTTGGTGCATTTTGGGCATTGTAGTTCCAGCAGTACCCTCGGTGTCCCGCCAGGACGTAAGAAGACTACAATTCCCAGAACACACCGCTCCTGAGCATGCCTATTGGGGTGCTTTGGGCAGAGGGATGATGTCATTGCAAAAACTCCACTGCATTCATTGTGCTACAGTCTCTCCACCCCCCTGCTGCTGCTAGGTTTGCGATTGCCGCTCGCTCCAGCTGAGCTAAGAGTAGCAGCAGCACCAGGGCAAGGACTGACTCTAGCCCTTGGACTTAGGACATCGCAGCACATTCCCTTGCGTGCGTGACTCATTCGCACATCATTTCTGTTTATGCCTGGGGTGGGGAGAAAAATCCCAAACCAGGTGAGTTGAAGTGATTTATTCAAATGGTTCCACCAACTTATTCCTCCCGCTTAGTTCTCAAGGCTTTCTTTTGGGAAGATGGGGGTGGGGGCGGGATCGGGGAGGTGTTCACAGGCGCTGCTAAGGAAAAGCTCTGTGCAATTTGGGTCACTGCAAAGAACAACTCCAGCAACCTTCCCCCGCCAGAGGACCGGTGCCTGCCAATTCCCTAGTCACAACTCCCTTCAACCTTTTTGAGGCTGGGAGAGGGGGCTGGGCTGGGAAGGATGTTGGGAAGTGCTCTTGGAAAATCAGAGGCAGAGGTGGGGAGAATGCGGTCCTGTCACATACGGCCCGAGTGCTGAGGTTTGAGTGGGAAGGGGTGATGCGTGGGGAGAAATGGAGACAGTGATTTAATGTGGTCGCACTACTTTAGAACATTTCTATGTCGTTTGGACGAGCACACATTATTCATTTTTAAGATGAACGTGCTTCTTCTGAGTAGCTTAAGCTTTGTGGGGGCTTTATTTCGTGTGTGTATGTCTATGTCGTTTGTCTCGCCTTTTCTGGTGATTTGAGGTGACAGTGTCCTTTAATGGTGCACTCCGTGCCAGTCAGAAACATTACACGTGTCTGGGGAAGGTTCTCTTAGGCTGCTGGAAACAGCATTTTTGTTGAGTGTTTTCAGTTTTTCTGACTGCAAGATTCGGAATTGTTTGGAAGTGGAGTGGACAGATTTGTGCTTGTGTGTTTTAAATTACATTGCAATAGGCTCCTTGCCACTGACAATGGTACCATAATGAGCTGCCGTTTCCTGAGGCACAGTCACCACTCTAAAATAACGGTTTGGAGAAGGGATCGATGAGGGAAACCTGGTTCATTTTAACACATTAGAGAAAGGCAAAGTTAGAAGCGCTGTTAACCTTCATTTGCCATTACTGAAAGATGCCCATGGAAAAGTGATTCTCTCCAGAAAAACCAAGGAGCATAGTAGTGCTGTTTTGTTATTGTTGCTGATGCTTGTTTTTAAATGAACTGACATTTAACAGGACAGAAAGAATTCTGACTTGTATGATGTGCCCTTGTACCAGTTATAGGGATGATTAGTGCAATAAATATGTTACTTTGAGATAAACAGCTGCTGGCTACAGAACAGATGGGGCCAGTCTTAGCTGAGAGATCTATAACCTTGGAAATGGATGGACCTGGGGTCAGCCACACCCCCTCTTGGAATGTCAAAAAAAGGAGACATGCCAGAGTATTTGCTTAACTCTAAAATATTAAACCTTTTCATAGCTGAGTCAGGCACTGGGAGAAAGTCTTTCCTAGCTGTCTTCTGCTGCTGAAGCAATTTTGTTTATTTTTAATTCAAACCCTTAGGTTTCCAAAGTTGTAGCTGGATGCTACTTTGTTATATTGACTCGTGTTACTGAATGCAAAGGACAGTCCATTGTATGGGCTTTGTGGTAAGAGTGATTTATTAGGATGCAATTAGTAGCTTTCAGATTTGGGAAAAGATCAACTATTTGCCTTTGCCTCTCCCTGTGTCTCTCTTTTGCTTACTTGCTGCTCTTCCAGACACCTACCCTTCTCTCCTGTACTTTCCTTTCTCTCCTGTACTTTCCCCCCACCCCACCCATGTCTCTTGAAATTTTCTATTTCTTTCGCTGTCTCTCCATTTGCAGTTTACATTTTCCTTCTGTTTCAAAATCTCCCCCTTATCACCAGCATACCACATCTCTTTCCAGTCTGCGAACACCCTCCCTGCTCCTTTTCCACCTTGCCCGGGAACTCCAGAGTGGATGTACTGTGTGAATATTTATTCAGAGTCTTTGAAGATCCTTTCTTTGCATTTTCTTTTTCTTGCAGTCTGTGCTTGGCAGGATGAACCGCAACGAGCTTGACCCCTTTGCCTGGTTTATGATCTCTGCGACAGACATAATTTAGCCCCAGCAGCACGTGGACAATGAAATGATGAAATATTGGAGTTGGGCGCATGCCACTTTTCCTTTCTTTGGCACCTGTATTGAGAACTGCCAATGGGTTAGCAAGGATTTTAAATGCTTTACATGAAATGTTCTCATAATTTCCAGGGAATAAGTAGTCTTCAAATGGCTTCTGCCTCATTTAATACATTTTTTTTTTCTGCATCCCTGCTCTAGTCATGGTGGGAAGGCTGTCTTTTCCCTTCTCCTCCTTCTGTTCCCTGCTGGTTGCTGAGGAGCAATCCAGGTAGCCAGACTACCCATTTGTTGTTGTTGTTGCTGCTGCTGTTGTTTTGAAGGTACTTTGAAGGCAGCTTTCCCTCCTGTCATCGCTTCTCCTTTGTGGAAGAAAGAAGTTTATTATTTTATACCCCTATCTTTTTTTGTTTTGTTTTGTTTCTTGTTTTTTGTAGAGATAGGTTCTTGCTATGTTGCCCAGGCTGGTCTTGAACTCCTGGCCTCATGCAATCCTCCCACCTCAGTCTCTTAAAGTGCTGGGATTACAGATATGAGCCACCGTGCCCTAGCTCCCCTCTCTTTTTTTTAATTTTTAAATTTTTATTATTTTTTTCTATGTCACAAGTCATGAAGCAAATATACTCCTCTCTAAAGGAGAAGGGTGTGGTAGTGGTTATGTTTGTTTGCTTAACAGCAGTGCTTCTCTAGGTGTGGAAAGTCTGACTGATGTCCATCTGGAGGCAGCCAATGTGACAGGCAGATTTAGAAGCTGTCATCCTAGACCTCTCTTGTACCACATTCTCATTCTTAATTTTCTTCTTCTGACATGCTTCCTCACCCACTGAGGTTTTTTAGTGTTCTAGAGAGGAGAAATGAGCTGAATGGAAAGTCAGATTTGGCCTCGTCACTGCTGTCTCTACGACCTTGAATAACTATGCATTTACTTCTGCCTCATATTTACAAAGGGATAGTGATCTTTGCCCCTTGGTTGAGTTGGCCTGATGTTATAGCCCTCTATATTCTGGCCCTAGCCTATCATTCTGACAGCTAATATTAATTGAGCAGCTACTGTGTGCTAAGCACTATGGATACATCAGTGAAAAGAAGTGCTTCCCCTGCCGTTGTGGAGCTTATACTCTAATAGGGGGAATGCTCAATGAACAATTGCAAGTGTGATGAATGCCGCTTCCAAAGGGTGATGTACTATAAGATGGGATAGAGGTGCTTAATGTGGTAGTCTCCCCTTGTCTGGAGGAGTCAGAGAAGGTCTCCATAGGAAGATGACATTTCAAGAGATTTGGAAAGTGAGTGGAAGTAGTAATTTAGGGTTACTAGGAGATGCTTAGAGTGGAACAAAGTGGGTTTCTGGCAAAGGGAACTGCATGTTCAAGTACAAAAAGAAGAGTGGTTAGTATGAGGATTTGAAAGGAGGTTAGTCAGTATGCAGAGGCAGTGCAAGGGGACTGAGACCAGAATGAAGAAGAATGAGGCTGGAGAGGTGGGTAGAGGTTAGAGATTGGGTAGTTTTCTGTGCTACAGGTGAATTTTGGTCTTTATCCTGAGGGCAGTGGGAACCTAGTAAGGGCTTTATTTAGCTAGAATAATGACATATGTAGAATTATATTGAAAACATCACCCTGGCTATTAAGTGGAGAAAAGATTGGAGGAAAGGCTTGGCCAGAGTGAATGTGTGGAGACCAAGTAGCAAGTAATTTTTGTAGTCTACATGAGGGATGGTGGTGCTTAGATCTAGGATGGTGACAGAAGGTTTGGAGAGAAGGGAGGAGAGTGGAGAGACACTAAGTTTGAAAATTATAATTGATAAGATTTGTTGACTGATTGAATGTGGGGATTGGGAGAGAAGGGAATCAAGAATGACTTGAGTTTTTTCTTGAGCAACTGGGGATGATGACATTTACAGAGAAAGGGGACACTGAACAGGGAGCAGATTTTTTTTGTGTTTTCAAGAAGGGAAGATTTTTGGATGTATCGAGTTTGAGGTTCCTGGGAAACTCTAAGATCTTTCTCTCACTCTTCCTGTCCATGTGTAGGATGTGGCGTGGTGGAGTAGAAGAGATCTCTAGATGGGGCTTTCTAAGGCTGGGTACTGCTTATTTATTAGCTGTATGATGTTGGACACATTGCATTCTTTTTCTGAGCTTTAGTTTCCTCATTTGTAAAATGTATTCACTTTATATTGATAATTTATACTGATCCCCAGCTACACGTGCACTATGCTAAGAAAACAGCATTGAATAAGATAGTGTTTGCTTTGGAGGAATTCACTCAGGTGAGGGAGACAAACATAAATAATCATAATCGGAGAGGTACTTTGGCAATACTAGGAGAGCACAGCCCCAAGGGAGGCATTTGTTCTTCCCGTGGTGGAGGCCATGTCCACAAAGTGGCGGGTGACCTGTGACCCTAGACATGAAGGCAAGAAAAAGCTCTCTACACTCTGTTCCCAGGTACCCAATAGAGTGTCTTGCAAATTAGAGACTCTGTGAATGTCGACTGAGTGGACCCACCTAAGTCACTAAGGGCCCATTCAAAAGCGGGAAATATCAACACATTGAAAGAGGACAGCTAGTAATAATACAAACGTCAAATGTAAAATGCTTCTTAGCAAACCCATTATTTCCTGAGACATGCAGCCTTTGAAATGTTTTGTGGATGTCTTTTAGGGAAATTCAGAAATATTTCAGATCTGGTTTCTTTTTCGGCTGAACTTCCTTGATTAAAGTTAGTTTCTCAAAAAGTTATTCTAATTGCATAGAGTTCCCTAAATCAATAAATAAAATTGGTTGAGCTGTGGGCAATAGTTATTTTTCTGTAGTAAATTAAAAATCTCTCCTCTTACTTTTAAATTTTATTTAATTTTTTTTATTTTTTGTTCCTCCTCCACTCTGAAGGAAACTTCTCACTTTTATCTCATAACAACATATTTAGCTTTAAGAAAAATTCTCTACATTGTCTTTTATTTTGTTGCAGAATAGGAAACAAACAAGACAGACAAAACATCAGAATGTTTTAATAATTTAGGAATTTAGGAAACCTCATTGCCCTGTTTTCGGGCTA